ATACACATATATTTACACACACACACATTTACACATATACACACATACACACACATAGAAGAAGCATCACTGCGGGTCGTGCTACTGTCAAAAGCTCAATTCTACTGGAAAAGTGTTAATAATTAGGGACAAAGCAGCTTGGACATTGTGTTCTTACAAAACCCCTCCACAAAAACCTGTCTTGGTAGAACACAGCCCTGGAAAAGGAGGACACCCTCGGGGTGAACAACGCAACGTGTGACATTTTCCACTATTGGGGTGAAACACAACTCTCGAAAGCAAAAGCAATCTTCCGGGCCACAGTGAGGTTTAATTCCCCCAGAGCCTGCCCACACCCCAGCCACGCATCCCAAGAAAGGCCCTTGCCAGAACCCGACTGCCATGACTCAGCTTGGGAATCCCGAAGGCCGATAACAAGGCAACTTTGAGTCACAGAAACGTCCCATCTGGGGAGTGAGGGACCCAAGTTTCAGGACACTGCAGGGAGAAATTCCACCTCACAGATTCTCAGAATTCAAGCACTTATTAGGCACCTACTGTATGCCCCAGGCACTGTGCTCAATCTGTCCATGCCCTGGCAGCCTTGATACAAGCAGTCACTCGCTCACTCATCACTTGGAACATTCAGTGACAGAACACCCACATCCTGCCTCGGGGCACCTCCGACTGTGGGGAAGCTTCTCCCCAAACCAAGCCGAGATATGCCTCTCTCTAACTTCTGCCCTCCAGGGCCAGGCATTCAAAGGCTAACCCTCTTCTGTGACCCCAGAGCAGATCACCTGGGGAAACACGGCGCCCTCCATGGTCTCTCTGGCAAACATCCACCCAACAGGGCGTGACTTCAGCAGGAGACAGAATGACACCCTTGGCAGCGAAGTCATTCCCAGAACCCCAGTTAAGCTCGACAAAGCCAAGAGACCAGGACAGGAAGCAAAGCCGAGCACCAACGCCTTCAGAGAGCGTGGCGCTACATCCTCAGGGCTGGCACACAGGCATGGAGAGGACAACATCAGAGGAGCACACAAAGGACTGGGGGACATGGGAATGAATGAATGAATGAATAAAGCCTTCAAAGGCTTACTGTGAGCTTTAAAAGCGAGACTAGTCTCGGTCCTCGAGGCAGTCAGGCTGTATTGTGGAAGGGGACACACAGAGACAGGTTGGCTGCAGGACGGTCAGCAAGGCCGGTAAGTCCTGAGGGTGCAGCAGACGGTGGGTGGCCAGGCCCGGATCCCAAGGGGACATCAGTCAATCCACGGATGGTGGCAGGGGTCAGCAGGGCAGACAGGGTGGTCGGGTGCCCCCCCCCCCGTCTCACTGGAAGGAACAGAACCAGTGGCTCTCCTAACCCAACACCTGCCAGCAGTCAAGCAGTCAGGAAGGGTCCTAGGCTAGCTGGAAGGGGGGGCCGATGGCCAGAAGGGAGGATGCCCAAGGCCTCATGGTGGCAGAATCTTGCTGTGGGACAGCCAGGGAACGGGGAGCAGGGAGGGCTCTTCGGGGCGACGGGCGCCCCTGCTAGGTGATTGGGGAGGGGACACCCAGGACCGAGGGAGAAATGGGAAGAGCTAGCCAAGTCAGGCCACGTGCCCGACGGCCACAGACAGAGCGATGAGGCAGCTGTTCAGCCCAAGATGACGACGCATCTACCGCGTGCCAAGGCCTGCGCTAGGTGAGGACGACACAAAGACAAAACTGTGGAAGTCCCTGGCCTCAAGGAGGTGACATCCTCCAGGGGGACGCAGATGTAAACAGGTAAGATGAGGTAACCCGGAGAGGGAGAGAAGGGGAAGGGGAGTGTTAACAATGTGGGGAGGGGGGAACTCTGCCTAAGGGACAGCCCCCGAAGCCAAGCCCTGAACAGGTAAAATGATTCTGAGAGATTCTGAGAGATGAAGGGGCAGGGGGCAGGGGGCGGGAATGGAAGGTGAGTAATGACTGAAGAAGCCAGTCCCCAGGAGGCGAGAGGGGACAGGATGGAGGACAGGATGGAGGACAGGATGGAGGACAGGAGCAGAGAGGGCCAGCCTCGACCAAGAAGGGAGAACGAGGCAAGATGAGAGATTTGGAGGTTTGGGAGAGAAGAGGGAATTCACCATGGATGGCCTCAATCTTCTCGCTTCAATAAAACTGGACACCCTCTGCTAAGAAGGAAAGGAGAAAGATGGCCCCAGGGGCTGGAGGAGAGAGGTCTGGCACCGCCCAGCAGGGAGCATGACAGAACCAATCAGACAGGGATAAAAGGCTTCCCACAGTGGCTGGCCCTGGTTGAGACTAAGTAACATCACTGCAGAGAGGGCCCGGGGAGCCCGGCTCCGTAGCTTCCTCCAGCGCCACTCAGCAGCAAAGAAGTGGGAATAACTAACCTGGATGGGGTGGGAGTAACCCAAGCTGAGCCCCCCCCCCTTATTCCTAGACATTCCAAACACCCAGTTCACAGGGCTCCGGCAATGTCTGCTTCCCCACTGAGCACCATCTGTCCACCACCCTTGGCCACTACTGTCGGACCATCAACAAGCACTTATTGAGCTCTTACTGTATGCAGCCACTGGGCGTGAGGCTTGGCGGCTCAGTGGGGGATGCCAGGGCTGGGGAGGAAAGGGAGGCAGGGAGGCCAGGACTTAGGAATGTGTGCCAGAGCCTCACAAGTGATTCTGAGCTAAAATTCTTCCCACGGACATTCCTACTGTCATAAAATTCAAACACATGGAAGGACTGTTCGCCCCCAGCCTGGCCAATGGCTAAAATCCTTAAGACTGGAGCTGGAAGAGATCCCAGAGACCCTTCTATGACTCCCCCACCCCAAAATACACACACATCCATTTTCCTGATGAGGAAAATGAGGTCCAGAGACCTGGCCTGGTTTGCCCAGCATCACATCAACAGTCAACGGCAGAAACGGCCCGAGTGGTCCGACGTCCCATCCCGTCATTTTTCCCCTGTATGCCCTCCCTCGTTAGGTGCAGAGGGAAAGCATTTCCACTGCGTCACAGGCTGAGAGCTGGAAGAGACCTTGGACACCAGCCAGTCTCACCCTCTTATTTACAGAAAAGGAAACTGAGGCCTCACAAAGTTAAGTGACCTGCCCAAGGTCTCAAGGGCTGGAATCTGGGCCCACTCTAGACTCCCTCGGGGCAGACAAAACCCAAACCACCAACCAAATCTGGACAAAACTGCTTGCTTTCAGCCTCCTCCCAGGATTCTGAGAGCAGAAGGCTTAAGGTAACGATGATGAAAATAGTAAAAATGGCGGCATTTATGAAGTGCATTCAAGTTTGCAAAGCCGATATCATCTCATCGGACCCTCACCGTAACGCTGGAAAGAAGGGACTGTGGCTAACCCCATTTTACTTCCTGTAGACAGAACCAGACGGGACCGAAAGGACTCTGGAACCACTGAGGCGCGAGACGCAAGAACAGCAACATAAGAGAAATCCAGCGATGCCCAAGTCTGTGTGGTCGGCAGAAAGCCCGAGGCCCTCAGTAAAAGGGGGCCGCCTGTCCCGCCCTCAGGAGATGCCTGAAACTGGGCTTATCATCTCACTGAGCAGCGAATTCAACTTCAGGACCCAGAGGCAGAC